TTTAACTTCACCCCTCTACTAATTTTCTGGAAGTTCTAGGGGATTTCCACCTACCAAGAGAGTTAGTTTACTGGCAGTGCTCCTCAATACATACCATAGTCAATGAAAACATTTTCATCCAAATATTACCAATTCAAAATTAATTTCTTTGCCACCCATGACGAACTGCCAAAAGCTATTGCTGGGGCAGAAAAGATAAGGCTTTTTAAAAGTCAAGTTCATGATGTGCAACCTAACTGATAAATTTTTGTTTACAGAAATGACAACTCTGACATAAAATTTAAGCTTTTGTGATAATTTAGAATGACAATGGCACTTATTAGTATAGTATATAGTATCCTTGGAAAATACTTTAAAAAGTCAACCATGTCCACAAACCAAACAGTACATATAAACAAATACACTAATTAAGAACAAAAACTTATTGTATATACTAACAATATTAATTTCTTATTAAATCAACCATAATTTTAAGTACTTAAAAACAATTTCTCCAATTCATTCCAATTAGCTTCTATCTCCAGTATAGAATGAAGTATGCTTTCTACTAATTTTAACATTTTTAAAAGTGATATCATTTTGTAACTAAATCCATCAAAAGTAAAACAATCCAATTTAGTTCTGTAAAAACATTTTTAAAGTATAAAAATAATTGTTTTCATTCAATCTTCATACCATTCTTTCCTCTATCATAGGACTCCTTTTATTTCAAACTATAAAGTTCAGTGCTAAGATGAATTCCTGGACGTTTCGTTCCCAGGAAAAACACCTTTCGAGGACCTGCAGAAAACTAAAATCAGAAAATGTGTTTATGGCCACAGAAATTTATTTACTAAAGAACTGGAAGTCTCAATGACAATTAAAAGTAACTTAAGCCCTAGCCAGTTTGGCTCAGTGGATGGAGGGTCGGCCTGTGGACTGAAAGCAGCCACTCAGATTCTCTCTCATCACTGATCTCTCTCTCTCTCTTTCTCTCTCTTTCTCTCTCTTTCTCTCTCTCTCTCTCTCTCTCTCTCTCTCTCTCTCTCTCTCTCTCTCTCTCTCTCTCTCTCTCTCTCTTCCTCTCTGAAATCAATAAAAAATATATATTAAAAAAAAGTAACTTAAAGCCCGGCCAGTGTGACTCAGTGGTTGAGTGTTGGCCTATGAGCCAGGTCACGGGTTCGATTCCTGGTCAGGGCACATGCCAGGGTTGCAGGCTCAACGCCCAGTAGGGGGCTTGCAAGAGGCAGCCAATCAATGATTCTCTCTTCCTCTCCCCTTCCTCTCTCTGAAATCAATAAGAAACATACTTAAAATTTTGTTCCTCTTTAAAAAAAAAAAGGTAATTAAAAAACTAAATATAATATGATATCCTAGATCAAATCCTAGAACAGAAAAAGGGTATTAGTAGAAAAACTGATGAAATTGAATAGAATTGCAGTTTAGCTAATAGTAAAATACCAATGTTAGTGACAAATGTACCACAGCTATGTATATCTGAAGGATATATGGAAACTCTGTAGTATCTTTGCAACTTTTCTGCCAATCTAAAATTATTCCAAAGAAGCTTATTTCTATTAGAACAGTAAAACCTAGGAAATATATAACATTTCCTATGCACTCATCTATGGGCTAGGTGCTTTTAAAGTGCTTTATAGAAACACATTTAACCCTCCCAAGAACCCTGTAAGGTAGGCATTACTTACAACTACATTTTGCAGATCAGAAGTTCTGTGAGTGATAGAGATTTGAAAGCAACCACTATAATATACAGCCTTCTGAGGAGCCAGACCAAGAAAATGCTCCTGCCTTCTATTAGAAACCAGGTTACACTGCTCCCGCTGTCCTCAGCCTCCAGCAGGGAAGAAATTCCTCTGCCCAAAGCTTGGGAGTCCTTGCTAGGATTGTGAAGGAATGTGACTCCACCACACTGTTCATAATCTTTCAGTACTTGATGCACTCAGTGCTCTTCTTATTGAGACACTATTATACGTAGAAGCTAGTTTTTATGGTATTGTCAGTTTTCAAATTCAGGCACGTTGGGTTGGCCTGGGAATCTGAAGGTCACATGTGACATTTTTTCTATGGGAAAATGGAGTTGATTTCCAAAGAGAAATTCTTATAATTGGACCATTTAGAAATTGAACATCCCTCTACACAGTTCCCAAACACCAACATAATATATACAAATTTTAACAAAGACACTGCAGTTACTCAAAGTGGCACAGTTCCTTATACATAACATAATAGGAATGGTATTACTGGGAAAAAATGGCTGAATATTTTATGGATTTCCTTCATTATGGCCAATTTTGGATGTATCCAATAGTTAATATACTTCTCTGCCTGGACCCCCAATAAGCTTTATATCTAAAATTTACTACCAAATAAACATGTCTTTCACATACACCCAGAACAGGTGTCATCTCCGAAGGTAGCCAAAGTATCGATAGAAATCGGAGCAGCAATAATGACAATGACAAAGGAATAATAACAAAAAGAACTAACTATGAGCATTTACCATTTAGCGATGTTCTAATTATTATACATCCTCTGGCTCCTTTAATCCTCACAAAAATCCTATGAGGTAGGTATTACACTATCACAATTTCAAAAATGAGGAAACAGGTTGGAGATTGAGCAACTCGCCCAAGATCACCGAGCTACTTAGTGTCAAAAGTAAGGTTTTCCCCAGCCAGTGTGGCTCGGTGGTTGAGCATCAACCTATGAACCAGGAGTTCAGGGCACATGCCTGGATTGTGGTCTCAATCCCCAGTGGAGGGTGTGCAGGAGGCAACTGATTGATGATTCTCTCTCATCACTGATGTTTCTATCTTTCTCTACCTCTCCCTTCTTCTTTGAAATAAATAAAAACATATTTAAAAAATAAATGTAAGATTTGGATATTTAAGCATTTTACCCTTGGAGATCATGCTTTTTAACCATTGCACTGTATGTGTAATTGAATAATTTGGTAAATTCTCAAAATGAAGCTGACTCAAATTCATTTTAAAAACAAGAGTGGTTTGGAGACACCTCCTCCTCCCAGCTAATGAAGAACCTCATCTTGCCTTTTATTAGTTATAGGTCCTTCACCCAAGCTAAAACTGAATACATTTATGGAGAATAAATTTAAAATATATTTTGCTTTGCTTTTATCACCTTGAAATCCTTCACTTAATTGAACACTACAAACAGTGGTAACTGCATCTAATTTCAACAATAGGCAAATAAAAGTTTACTTTAAAATATTCAGGTAAAACACACTGCCCATGTTTACCAATAAGTAATCTAGGGCAAAATAACTAAGAATTCCAGTACCCTTGAAAAGTTTCAAAACAGCAGCAAGATATAGTGGGAACAAGATATTCCTTTATGACAAAGAAAAAATGTTCTTTCCACAACAGTAACATCTGCTTTAATGACACACATTAACTTGGGATGGACTGAACTCAAAACATGTGCCTGAATTCTTAGAATTCAGAAATTCTTCACTGATAGTCTATAAAGGCTATCAGTTTATCTCCCAGAAGGACCATCTGATCCACAGAAGACATCTAATTTTGGTGAAATAAAGGTGTGCTCCCTACCATCCCACTGAGTAACAAAAAGCATGCAACCCCCAACTTCTGGAGCACAAGGCTGGTTTTTTTTTAGTCATCTATTTGAACTTCAGAACTTTCTTTCCCAGAAAACAAAGGTCTATGTGCCAGGTTTCCAAGCCAACCCACAAAAACTTAAACACCCATAAGGTTACAGAAGTATAATAAATTACCGAACCTATAGGAAAACCCATTTAGCCTTTAACTTTGAATAAAAGCAACTACCCCTGTCCCACTCAGGCCTGGATGTAGAATTTTTCCCTCCCCCAACTGGGAGTCTGGACTCCCCTAGGACCAGAGGCCCAGGCTTCCATGATCAAAGCAGAGCATAAGGAAAGGCATGCAGGAGGTTGATTGGCAGTGCATTAGACCTCAGGTTGAAGACAAAAAGTGCTGCATTGGGAAGAGACCTTGGGATAAGGAAAACAGAGAAGGATGAAGGGTGGGATAGCGGCTAAATGGAACAAGAAAAAAGTGGGGTTTGGGGTGGGCTGCAAAAGAGGACAAGGGAACAGTGCCTGCTCCTGAAGCAGATGGGCTTTTACAAACTTTCCTCTTTAACACTTAGGAGAGGGAAGGAAAAGAAAAAGAGAAACCATGGTAGTGTCAAGATCCTTCCTCCCTCACTCTGGCCACTCTTTCTCCTTTCCAGAAAGAATGGGAACCTGGCCAGGTAGGTCAGTTGGTTAGAGGGCTGTCCCAATACACCAAGGTTGTGGGTTCGATCCCCAGTCAGGGCATATACAACAGTCAACTGATGAAAGCAGAAATAGGTGGTACAGCAAGTCAATGTTCTCTCTCCTCTCTCTCATCAATAAGTTAAAAAAAAATAACAAAGTGGGCCATGTGGTCTTGTCCAGCTCTCTCTTAAGCTCCTTGAGGAGAGTAAATCGAAGGGAAGAGGACTTTAAGGGTGTTTTTTTGTTTTGTTTTTTTTGCCCTCGTCAATATCCACTCTGCCAAAGACTTCATTCAGTGTGTCAACTGAGAACTATGGGAAGGCTCCATGCACCAGCAGTAACAGTCAGAAAGAGAGGAAGGAAAGAAAGGAGAGAAATTTGAAGCAGGAAGGAAGTGGGATGTTGCAGGATTGAACAAATTAATAGACCTACCAATGAATTAAACTATAATAAATATTCTTAAGTATTTAGGATTAATTCATTTTGGCAGCTCCAAATATTTCAACAGTTCCATTTCACTCTTAGACAAATGAATATTTGTGGCCTTGAGGTTTATTATGCAGAAGGTATGAAAATAAGCTTCTAAAAACATCAGAGACAATTTCCTGATGTCTTTTATTTATATAGAGGCAATATAAATCATTTCAGAAAGGCTTTATTTACTTGAAGAGTACTCAGTTACATTATCATTTGTCAATTTTTTCTCTGCAATAGCCCAAATACAATGAGTAATTACCTTAACAAATAAGGAAGTGTATTTAACTCTTTCTTGGGAGTCTGCCTCTAATGAAAACATTGTTCATTCAGACTAAATATTGCCCATCAGGATTCCAAGGTTTTATTTCAAGCAAAGCTCCAAACTCCATATATCACAAACACACAGACATATCCTGAGGAACACAGGACTTCTTTTTCCTCTGCCTCTAATGCCCATGTTTCTGAGACATGGCTATTTAATTAAAGACCTCCAATTTACTTCTTGAAAGATGGAGCAGCAAATCCTAACTTCCATGACTTCTCCTGAAATTCCAGCCAGGGATAATTAGACAAGTAAATCTAATCAAAGGACCACAAAGGATGAGTGCCAGCTAGAATCTTTTTTTTTTTTTTTTAATTTTAGCAGCTACTCTTCCAGTTGAACTCTCTTAAACAGAGATAATGACCGGATGGCAAGCTCAGCAGAACATCAAAGATGCAAGAGCAGAGACCAATGGGGGATAAAAGTAACCAATGGCCATGGCATTAGCAAGATGTTCCTGCTGTTTCATTTCATCTAAGATAGTGCTTGGAATCTGGAAGGTCTTCTACTCCCTAGCCCCACAGAAGATTATGCCGAATCCCAGAATAGCTACTGTATTTTCTGTAAACCACAAACTAGGTCCAAAACTTCTGCCCTAAGTGAAAGAGAAGAAAAACAGCATCTGTTATCAAGTACTCCACTTGCTAGAGAAGGCAGCTTGGTGGGTATGTGTCTGTATACCTTCAAGCTATAATAAAGCAAATTCAAACCCCTATAAATAGCTGGTATTTTATTTTAATAATAGTATTTTAATAATAGTATTTGAAAAACTAATATCAGAATAAACAAAACATTTTAAGTATATCGGGCATGCTGAAATTGGAGACAAAGATAGTGAAAACTGTCTTTCAGATAGGTCACCTCAACTACTAGGAATCCTTACTAATCAGCGGACCTGCTAAAATGTTACCTCTGGCTAGAAAATGAAGATATCTGGGGGGGAAAACTTGAGACTATCTTCAGCCAAGAACACTGAAAGCTTTCATGATTAGCAACAGAATTGAAAGGTCTCTTTGTGACAAAAATTTCCACTTTCATAAAATTTCTATCAGTCAGCACATACACTTATGCAGAGCATAGTAGGAAAAACACATTCTAGAATCAGACACACATAAGTTTTAGCTCTACCCCAGGTTTAAAATGAATTAATCCTAAATACTTAAGAATATTTATTATAGTTTAATTTACCAGCTATATCACCTCCTCAGGAAAGACACTGAAGAATACTGGACGTTTCATTATCTGTACAACAGGGACGTTATCTTTGGCACAGGGTAGGTAACTATGAGGATTAAGTACAAAAGTACATAATTCACCAAGCCCAGTGCCTGAATACAATCAATGTTAATTCCCTTTGTTCCAACACAAACTGTACAGAGTGTGGTATCTATAACTGAGAAGGCTATTAAATATGTGGAAGAAAATTCAGAGTGACAGAATATAGATTATTATATTCCCATATTCTGTCCAACGTAAAGATGAAGATCACATATTTAATTTTCACCTTCACTAAAGTTTTTCCCTTGATTAAGCCATAGGCAAATGGGTAGGGGGAGAGCTCAAAGTGAAAAACTTCATATCATACACTGATTTAAAATTATGTATGTGTATATGCTTGCAATCTTCCAATATTCATAAAAAAAATCATCACAAAATATGCCGTAAGTAATGATACCCTTTAAAATTTAATACCGTGAAAAAGTAAACTCTCATCTCAAAAGCCCTTTTCTGATCTAAATGTTTTCTTCTTACAAATGTCTTGTAAAGCATTTGCAAAGACAAAAGTAAATCCCCTCTTCCTTTCAAAGTAAAAAGTGTGCAGAAGGAGCTTTTCAGTTTGTCAAATTGTTTTCCCCCATTCAGTCTTATTTTTACAAACCAGAAATAAATACATGGCATGCCAAAAGTATTGTCTGTTTGACAAACGTCACTGAAGAACACATGGAATTGACAAGCCCTGTCTGGACCAAAGGTGAAAAGTTTTCTTGAGCAATTTTATAGGACAAATGCTTTTCATCGACACTAGGAAACTTTATAATGCAGCTTACTTTATAACCCCCCGTGCAACCCCCCAAAATCCTGCTTTTATGAACTTTAATGAGCTGGCACACAGTATTAAACTACAGAACTCCACTGATAATAACCCTAATCTGTCGGCCCTCAGAGGAATCCTCATGCGATCTTTAAATGAACATAGACTGTGTTTTTCCTTACTCTACACCTGCCCACAATCGTTTGCAAACGTCTTTCACAACAATTACTACTAACCTTCCTTGCGATCTCAACCACTCCAACCTCGGGGCGTTTGTTCTCATCTCATCCCCAAACGCTCTGCTGGGGCTTCAAAGTCCAGGGTCCAGCGAGGAAGGACATCATGCCCTGGGTTCGGGGGGCCAGGGCTACCCCCCGACCCCGGCCACTCCCTCTCTCCTCAGCCGTCCGGGTCGAAGGCGCCAGGCCCTGCGCAGACCTCGGCAGCCGCGCAGCCCCAGGCCGAGCGGAGCCCCGGGTCACCAGCAGCCGCGCACACGCCCACCGCCCGAACACGGGGTCACCGGGAAGACCCCGAAGCCATCCCCGAAGCCCCAGTCTGGGCAGGTGCTGGGCCTCCTCACGGACACTCACCGGGCAGCCGCTGCTCCCAGTCCGCCGCAGCCGCAGCCGCCGCCTCTCAGTCACTCCTGCCGCCTGTTCCCGCGGGGGGTCCGGGCCGGCGCTGCTTCCCCGCCCGACCCCCCCCTCGGGTGTGCGCCGCGCGGAGCCCGGATACGGTGAGAGCCGCCGCCACCGCCCCCTTCCCTCCCTCCTCCCTAGTGCGTCCCTCCCACCGAGGCCCGCCTCGTATTTCCGGGATCCGCTCTCAGCAAGAGCTGGGCTTGCGAACCTCAGGCTTCGGGTCTCCCGTCGGGCGCCGTCGCTCGCCAGGCACAAAGATGGCGCCGTCGGAGACCGCCGAGGGCCATCTCGCGAGCTTTCCCCACAGTCGCGGGAGGGCGGGGCCACGGGAAAGGTGATCAGTTAAGAGTAGCCTGAGCGCGCTTCAGAGCTTCCCCTTATGGGCCAGGTTATTGCGCGTGCGCGGGGGCAGCGGGCGGAGGATAACGCATGCCCAAAAAAGCCCCATTAAATAGCACCCCCTGTGCTCCCAGTCTTACCTGTTTCCTCTGGAGGCGCGGAGCGGAGAAGGAGGGGGCGGAGGAACCGAATGAAACTCCGGAAAGGGCTGGGCACGACCCGTTGGCGAAGTGAGAGGCGTCCCTTAGGGCTGGGTCATCCCTCTAGAACCCAAAGGGCTAACACTGCTTTGATGTCCCCAGTTCTCCAGCCTTCTTACCCTCCCTGTCCTCGAGTATTCTTTGCAGAGTCTCAGCTGTACTTTCTTTTCTTTTCTTTTTTAAAAAAAAATATATTTTATTGATTTTTTAGCGAGAGGAATGGAGAGAGATAGAGAGCTAGAAACATCGATGAGAGAGAAACATCGACCAGCTGCCTCTTGCACACCCCCTACCGGGGATGTGCCCGCAACCAATATACATGACCTTGACCGGAATTGAACCTGGGACCTTTCAGTCCGCAGACGGACGCTCTACCACTGAGCCAAACCGGTTTCGGCTCAGCTGTACTTTCATCCTGTGGTCAATGCGCGTTATTTAGTGAGAATTTAATATGTGCTCAGAGCTGGGCTCGCAGCTGGCAGCCACAGCCCTCCTGTTTCTCACAGCCCCATCTAACTTTCTCTTTCATTTTGGCGTTTTGTGAATCTTCCATATCTCATACTGTTAACTGCTTCTGTTCCTGTTTTATTTTTCCTCGCTCATTCATTTACTCATTCATTCAAACGTGTGGCGTTCAGTTTCCTATATGCCAGGTGCTTAAGGAAACAGATGTGCTCCGACCTCAGGAAGCTATTGGCCCGAGATGGGGATGGATGAGAGAGAAAAAAAAAAAAATGATGACAGTTCACAGTAAATTCTTTGATTAAAAAAAATAAGTGCAGGGGAATGAAGATACTGGGAGTGGGCTGTCATGAAATATATCAAAGAGAAAATTCTTGAGGAGACTCACAGGCATAGGATTTACTACAGTGAATTAGGGTGCTGTCAGGAAATAAACCACCTCAATTATTTTAACAGAGTTTAATATAAAGAAATGATCATTAACTGAAAAAGCAAGAAGAGAACTCAATGTATTGCGAAGATAGCACTGAAGGAGGCAGCTATTATGCCTAGAGCTTGGGGTACTACGGGAAGAAGTAGGGATTATTATAATTTAGACATTTAGAGGACAGCCTTGTGGAGCTGAAACTCAGACCTATGAGGAGGGAGCAACATCTTATGGTGCTGGTGTCTCTGAGGGGAACTGAAGATGCTGTTTCCACTAGTGTGGGCAAACTGGATCCAACTGTTGCTATGGGAAGGAACCACCACTGTCCTGAGAGCTTCTAATCTCCTTCCAATCTGATGATGAGAATGACACATGTAGAGCAGAGCTGAACTTGAAGCAGAACATTTTGGAAGCTGGATGTGGTCAGAAAGGGGCCATTCACTCCTGTTGCACATCCCAAGTAGTGGGGACCATCATGTTAAAACATTTATAGAAAACCTTCAAATTCAAGGTTCCATATCAAACAGAACTGCCCGGCCCTGGCTGGTTTGGCTCATTGGATAGAGCATCAGCCTGCAGACTCAGTGGTCCCAGGTTCGATTCTGGTCAAGGGAACATGCTGGAGTTGTTAGTTCGATCCCCAGTAGGGGGCGGGCAGGAGGCAGTCGGTCAATGATTCTCTCTCATCATTGATGTTTCTATCTCCTTTCCTCTCTGAAATCAATAAAAAAATATATTTAAAAAAAACCACACACACAGTACTGCCCAGCCAACTCCCAAACCCATGAGTGAGAAAATAAATGTGCATTGTGATATGGCACTGAGAGTTTTGCCTATTATATGGCAAAAGCAACTTTGTTCCACAAGGTGAGCAGGATTTAGTCTCCTTCTGTCTTCTTACTCCACCATCCCTAGACTGCTGTCCTAGTTTATTTGGTCCAGAAGGAGAAGGTTTACCCATTTCCTTTGAGAGCACAACCCAGAAGTTGTTAACATCACTTGTGTTCACAGTCCATTGGCAAGAACTTAATCACATGACTGTGTTTACCTGCAAGGGAGGCTGGGGAACGTGGTCTTATTCTAAGCTAGTGGTGGGCAAACTCATTAGTCAACAGAGCCAAATATCAACAGTACAACTATTGAAATTCCTTTTGAGAGCTAAATTTTTTAAACTTCAACTTCTTCTAACGTCACTTCTTCAAAATAG